TTTAGTACATTGTCGGTATTTGGGGCACTTACCTTAGCATGTGTTCGGCAGGGCTGTGGCCTGATTTACCTTATGAACCACTTTTGTGGAATCAGTTTTGTATACGCTAACCCCTTTCCCAGTTGTCAGTCGACCTTGGGGAGTGGTTTGTGTCACTACTGGAAGTAGCTTCCGTGATGCAACGGGTTTCCCGGAGCCTAATTCCGTGTGCGCCCTTGTGTTTGACCGTATTTAGCGATATTACAAAATGGATGAAGAAGAACTGATTGGGAGATTGTTGGCTAGTGTTGAAAGGGAGGACAAGGAACAACATTTAGAAGAAAGAACTAATGGTGCGTGAGTTCGGTAGGCTAAGCCTTTTTTTTATCATGAAAAAGAGCTTTGACAAAATGTGTGGTTTTTCTAACAAATGATTTTTTGCATTTGACAATAGGTGTTTTATTTCAAATAGGCCTACCATAGAAATTTTTTTCTAAAGAGCTTTGACAAAGTAAGTTGTCCTTATGAAATAAATATCTTTTTTCATAATTCCATAGGTGTTTTTATGTCATACACAGATGCAATTTTTGTCTAAGAGCTTTGATTGAATGAGTTGTCCTTGTACAAAATTATTATTTTTATTAGACCATGTACATGTTTTTATGTTATACAATATTGAAATTTGTTTTCTAATATACGATAGTAGGCCCTACTGTATAAGTACAAAGAGTAAATCTTTTTTAATCCACAACACTTACGTATTTTTATTTGTTTTCATAACATTTTCTATTTTACTACTTAAAAGTAATAGTGTAATAACTCATAAAAATGTTTTTAGTTTTTTACTCATCATTGCATAGTTTTTGTACTCCCGGAAGTAACTTCCGAGAGCGCCCTTTGGTGTTTGAAAATCAATGCGCCCGACGGAAGGCTAACTTGGTGAAGGCATTTTACTTCACTACTACTAACCTTAACACTACTATAACACAAAACAAAAATAACTTAGGTACCCATACTCATACTGTACTGCATAGTGCCAAATAAGTTATCAAATACCGGACGCGCCGAATTTCGTCTCAAATAATAAGCATATGCTTAAGACATAAGACATAAGATCAATTTATTTCCTGTAAAACTTACAATATACAAGTCATGCTTCATCTGATCAACACCAAGATTAATGCATTTGTTGGCTTTTAATCAGTCTGGAGACAAATGGGTTTGTAAATCGTCATTGGCCGCTAGATCCAGTGAGCCGTGATTGGTCATGCTGTACGCAGTTTTTGCAAATTTCTAAAATCTCTTGTCTGTTTCCTTTAGAAAGCGGTTGAGTTTCTTAGGCTTTAATAACTATACCTGCCGATTTGTGATAGAGTACAGTTGTTAATATGAAACTTTAAATATTTTTCTGTCATTTCAAACCATAATTAAGAAACTATTTTAAGACTAATTTTCAAGCCCTCCGGAATTGGATGGCGAAATGTAAACTAAGCCTAAGTTCCGGATGCATGTTCAGAATTAGGCAGCGGCACTTCCTAATTTCGGATTGTTACGTTTTTCGTCATATATTTACTGATTTTAACTTGTTATTAACTGTAAATCTCTATAAAAACCATATTAGGTAGGCTATAAACAAAATCATTAAGTTATTTTACAAAATTTATAAAAGTGGAGTACTTTAGAAGGATATTTTTAGCAGAAAATTGCCTTCTTAGGCCCACTGAAGTAGGCTAGTTTCTAAACTACTAAGCGTTGTTACGTTTTTTCGTGGTATATATTTACTTATTAATTTTAAATGGCTATAAAATCCTTAATTATTAAAATTATAAATGATAAATTTTCCAAAAATTACAAAAATGTATACTTTGAGATACTCTTGTTAGGAGATAATGGCTTTCTTAGGCCTACTGAAACAGTTCCGAACCCCCGAACCTTACATTTTTTGTGTTATATATACACATTATGAACTGTTAACAGCTATACAATCAGTAATTATTACACTTATATTGATATATATTTTCAAAATTCACAAATATTAACCCTTAGAGTGCCAGGCGAAAAATAAAAGTAACGCTAAAAAAATGCCGATGATTTTTCCCGAAGGTCGCGCTAAAAATGCCGAGCGCGATCTGGCGATTTTTAGGTTAAAATTTCGTAAAAATCGAATTTTCGATATTTCGACCAACGAAAATCGATGTATCGCATCTAGTAACTTTCGACTCAATGTTAATATATGGGTTAAAAGAATCCGAGTATCCATTCGGTTGTTATGACAACTGTTCGATCATTACGAAACGTCCGGTCAGCCGGACGTTGGCACTTTTGGCTCGTTCTAAAAACGTCCGGTCGGCCGGACGTCGGCACTTTTGGCTCGTTTTAAAAACGTCCGGTTCCCCGGACGTTGGCACTCAAAGGGTTAAGTACTACTCCTAAATGTTATTCATTATCAGAAAGTAGTTTATTAGGCCTACTGAAGCAGTCCCAAACTACCATACCGAATGTTACGTTTTTCTGTTATTTACAAATTATTAACTTAACTATAAACAGCTATAAAGTCGGGAATTATTACAATCATAATAGTTAGCTTATATATTTTCAAAATGCACTTATTAAACGTTATTTAGCAAATAGCAAACCAGAGCCAACACACCCTCATCTCCCCTTACATGACTCACATTCTTGTATGCCATTCCAAAATACCAACTGACCTGCCATGATTAGCCCCTCCACATTCCTACAGTATATATATAACCAAGACATCAATCTGTCCTTGTTTATATTGAAATACGCAAAAAACCTACCAGAGGTCAACTCACCCCATCTCCACTTACATGACTCACATTCCAGGGAATGCCTAAACCATACCAGCTGACCTAGTAAGATCATCCCCTTCACAACCATGATTTAACTCAACCCTTGTTATTTTTAATGTGCTAAATCTTGTATGAAATATATCGGTAATTTAAGAATCAAATGAGGATAAAAATTGCTTTAATACGTTTTTGGGCTTCCTGAGTGCTGGCAGGATTGCCGTCCAGTATTAGGCGGTTTCAAAATATTTGGTATTGGTTGAATAAAACACAAAATACCTACCTATGTCTTATTTATGGAAATATTTTAGTAAAAATGTAATCAGACAAGTTCAGGGTGTCCACATTCTGGAAAGTCAGGGATAGTCATGGAAAGTCATGGAAAAAAATTATGGTCATTGAAAGTCAGGGAAATAGGCAAGAAGTCATGGAAAGTCATGGAAATTTCCAATTATGGATGGATTTGAGGGGACCATTCAATGCTCTAGTCAGCCGTAACCCGGACTGTTGTAGCATTTTTTCAGGTTTTTTCACAAATGTTCGACAATTCAATTTATTACAGTTGTATTATTTTATGAGTTTTCGGTTTGTATTAGTTCATTGTTGTACCTATTGTACTCCATTGTTATCTGTTTATACATATTTCAGTATTTTCTGTGAAATAACTTGTCTAGGCAGTATTATTTGTGTGTGTATGTTATATTATAATTTGCATGTAAAGTTCGTGAGTCATGGAAATCAATGGTAAATGGTCATGGATAGTCATGGAAAGTCATGGAAATTAATGACAATTTTTTTGTGGACTCCCTGAAGTTGAAATTCGCTTAGTCTGCAGGTTTGCTGCGGCGGGGGTATTATCAATACCGTAAGTGCTGTTGTAAAATACAGTACAGTTCCTACTGTAATTTATTATGATGAGTTTTAACTTGATTTAGACGCTCCTGTTTGTATTAGCGACGTGTTTCAACAAAACTGCTTGCCGGTCAAAATTTACTAATATTTAATTGACTCTCGATAGTCCGGATTTTTTGCAATCCGGACCGGACGTCTGCCACATTAGTCCAGATGAGCGACAGTCTACTGTACTGCCTAATCCAAACTTGTTTAGTTGTTCGAATTTATAAAAAAGTCACCAAATCTATACAAAAAAGTATAATGCACATTGTATAATGTAATTGTCCTACTGTTAACATGAAAATATATCAATAACATTATTTTCATAACTTCAATAAACTTGACACTTTAATAAATCGAAAGCAGAGAGCCTGGGTTGATACAGCAACGATTTTTTCCCGTAACCAATGACATGGATTAACCAGAATACAGTAAATAATTCATGACAAATCTTTATAATAGTCCTACATTTTAGGGTTTTTGACTGCCAATCCTTTAGTTGGAAAAACACAACTTGAAACAAGTGTAGCTATATTATAATACAGCTAGCCTAATTTAAATAGAGGGGCCTATTTGTGAAATACCGGGTAACAGTGGGCAGTTTTGAAAACAAACCTGTAATTATGTTAAATCCAATGTTAACCTGCTAAGCATGGGAAGCAGGTAGGCCTATACAACTGGTTTATCTCTTCCATCTCAAAGTTAAACCAACCCAATTGTTGAAAAGCAAAACATTTTTCAGGGTGGCTAGTGACCTGGAAAACCTCGAAATGTCAGGGAATATTAAATATCTGGAAAAGTCAGGGAATTTTGTCATAAGTCAGGGAAAATTGTAAAATGTTTAAAATAATTTTAATAATTGTTAGGAAAGGTCGATCTGGTTCGAGAGTACGTAAGCTGTGTTGGTGAAAACTAAGAAATATGTCTGTACAAATAAATTTTGTGTTTTTTTACAAATTAAATTTTGTTATAAACTGCGTATCATCTTATCAAACTCATTTCAATTTTATTAACGCAAGTTGAAAAATTTGAATATAAGCTAGCCTGTATCTATAGATTTTATGTATTTATTTCATGTAAAGAAACATATATGTAAGATGTTCTTCAGATAAAGATTAGTCCTTTTGAAGAATTAATTAGTATTTAAACTGTTATTTTGAATTTGTCGATCAAGGAAAGTTTAAAAAAATCATGGAATTGTCAGGGAAAAGTCAGGGAATTTGTCAATGTGATTTCACTAGCCACCCTGTGTTTGCCAACTAACCTCTTTTTTAGCTTTAACTTTGAATTCTAAACCAAGCGTTTCTTTTGTTTTAGGTGATGAGATGTTCTCAGACACCTACAAGATGAAGTTGGTGGATGAAGTCATGTATGAAGTAACTGGCAAAGTAAGTGTGGTGTAACATTGTTTTAGTTGAAGTAAAAAAATAATATTATTTTCTCTTTATTTAAGGTCAGTCTAAAATTGCTATTAAGTAGCCTAGAATAAATTCATCATTATGAAAAGATCTGTTCAAGTTCTTAAATTTATTAAGAGGATGGACCTTATAAATGAAGTGAAAAAACTTGCACCTGTAGATAGAAAGGATAGATAACATAAATATTGAGTGATTGGCCTAATAATTTCTTCTCCTTTCTTAATGTTTAATAGTATTTTTATATTGGCCATGCTATTTTACCAAAAATCATTTTGGGGCCATAGATAGATACGAGTCCCTCGCTGTTACTTATTTAAATTCTATAATAATAATACATTTTTATAGTTTTTTTAAAAAGGTATTTAAAAATCTTCAAAGTCTTGAGGGAATTGGTTTTCAGAAGATATCTTTTTTAGTTTCCAATGAGACCTCTTAGCATTTTCAATACAAGAAGGGTCTACACATTTGGGTTGGAAAGGTGCAGTAACCCTCCTATTTAGAATCGCCAACCAATTGATAGTCTTAAACCACTTATGACACTTGATGTCATCAACGCCTCTTTTTAAATTTCCATACCGTCTGGTTAAATCCCTTTGAAGTAAGTTCTTCACAAGATCTTTTAGCTCAGAACTGAAGGATCTTGGCATCTTGTACTTGAGGTAAACAATCCTCTCGTATGTTGTCATTGTATCATATGCAGCAAATGGAGAGTTCCCTCCTACAAACTCATAAGCTAAAATACCAACAGCCCACCAGTCAATGGCTTTTCCATAGGGCTTACACATTATAATTTCTGGAGCTAAATACTCAGGAGTTCCACACAGTGTATATGTTCGTTTGTCTGTCAAAAGCTTGCTGTGTCCAAAATCGGTTAACTTTAAGTATCCTGTGTGGTCAATTAAAATATTTTCCGGTTTTAGATCTCTGTAAATCACATCCATGTAGTGAAGATATTCTATAGCCAAAATTACCTGGCTCATGAAAAATTTTGCTTGATTTTCAGTAAAATGCCCCAAATCTTTAAGATGTGAATACAGTTCACCACCTTCAACAAACGGCATCACCATGTAAATGTAGCTATTGTCTTTGAAGCTATATATTAGATACACTGCCAGGGGAAAGCTTATAGATTTAAGGATGAGTTTTTCACTTTTTATATGACTAACTGCCTTACATTTTACCACTTTTTCTTTTTCTATTGCTTTCATAGCGTAATACACTGTGTTATCTTTGTGCTTTATTAGTATAACTTCACCAAAACCACCACTGCCTAAAAGTGTCACCTGTTCAAAGTCACATAGTTGTTCTTGGTGTATAAATGGTGTGTTCCAGTTTTCTGTAAAATGTTCTTTTGACTTAATCAAAAAGTCTGTCCATTCGCCTATCTCACAAGGTCCACATTCAGGAAATCTAAATTTTTCTAAGTTGCATTTTGTATCTTTGCTAAAAGACATTGTTTATTTTGATTTTTAAAGTAATAGCCTTGTTTTAACTGTATCATATGGTGCAAAATAGTTAAAAATCACATGTTGAATTTTAACAGCATCAAACCATTGACTATTGAATACTAATATCAATAATCAAATATCAAACACAATATAAAAATGGTAGCCTTATTATTCTCTTTATTAAATTGACTATTTGAAACCTGGTTTATTAAGAGTTATACTAACTTATGATGAAAGTATTTATTTGTAAGCTTAATATTTTAATTATTTTTGCCAAGGTCTTTTTGTCCTGTTAAATTAATCACTGTGTAAGTAACACTTGAACATTTATTTACACTTAGGTTTATATAGCCTACTGTTTTAACACCCAAGACAGTAAGAGTAAAACATATAAAAGATGGTAAGTGGTGATCAATTTAGATTAATTGTAAACTCAAATTTAGATCGGACCCAATAGTTGAATGACAAGACAAATAATTGTGTGGCTTGAAAATAAATTAGTTTTATTGCAAAGGAATTTTTATTAAAGAACTAATTGACTCCAAAATCATATTTTAGGATGTAAAAAAATAACAATTTCATACAATTCAAATTTGACATAAAACAATTTAGGGTACCTAATTTAATTATAAGTTTATAGGCCCTAATAAACAAAAACATGCTATTTTTCACCATTGTAGATAGGTTTAGTTAATTTCTTCTATATTTATAAGAACAACTCCCTTAAAGCATGCTTCTATCAAAAAATATTTTGATATGTAGGGTCTATTTTTGTAAGAGTGTAGATAAACAAAATGTTTGATCTATTACTAAAATTCTTAGGTTTATTACTCTAGAGGGTAATTTTAAATTGCAGCTGGTCCAGAGAAAGCACGGTGAAGTTCAGATTGACGGTTTCAACCCTTCAGCTGAAGAAGCTGACGAAGGAACAGATGTAGCCGTAGAATCTGGAGTGGACGTTGTTCTGAACCATAGACTGTGCGAGACCTACGCCTTTGGTGACAAGAAGTCATACACCGCCTACCTCAAGGACTACATGAAAAAGTAGGAACAATTATTGTATAAATTAATCAAATTTCTCGTTGATTTAATTGTTGATTATTATTGGTCTTAAAACATTCTTTTCATCAATTGAGACTAAAGCTGTAGCCTAGATTGTCAATTATGATTTGTGAAAGAAGTGTTGCACGACATCCTAATGTCACCACGCGTTCAAAGCCGCTACCAGTTGCACAACGTCCAATAGCTCAGCGCTGTTGCACAACGTCCAGAGCTCATTGGGCTGGTGCTTTGGACGTCGTGCAACTGGCAGCAACTGCTACTTTTTAAAAGAGTGTAAAGTGTGTTGTTTCATGACGTCCAGAGATTGTAGAAAGACTTTTTTTATTGCGTGTACTTTTGGTCATGGCAAGATTTGGACGACTGCAACAGTCAAATATTTTATATTGAACGTCGTGACACTGACTTAAATCATTGGATATCGTGGCACTTGGACGTCAAGCAATGCAACCTTTGTGAAGTTTATTTAATTACTCAGGTGAAAAATCATTCTAAATTGGAAAAGTCAATAGGCTTGACAGTGTTGTGTACATCTTTATGTTTTAAACTTTCCCTGTCACTGTCTTGATTTGTTTGTACCAATAACTTTTATCAACTGTCTACTGTATCATACAAGTTAATCTCCTAATAACACCATAAAATCAGTTATACTATGCTCAACACATCCTGTTTCTCTACTATAATGTCCTTTGATCATTCTATAACATTTTGTTACGTTCCTACCAAATTTCAGTAATATATCTTAAGCTAACGACTCTCTACATGGTTCTGACTCCAAATATCACCCTCGCACAAGGTCCAAAATGACAATTCCTGGTACAGCGAGGGAGGGTCGGTTTAAATAAATGTCCCTTTTGCAGAAGGACAGAAGGAACTGCTTTGCTACTATACTATACATTGAATATTACAATTGTAACAATATTCTTATAACATAAATATAACTAAACACAATACAAGTAAGAAATAATATATACAATCACTTTCCTTAACATAGATATTTAAAGGAATCCCCTTGCAAAGTTTGGGTCACTCTAGGTTCTTCCAACAAGGTTGAATCGTTGGTTGTTTATTTTATTGTATTTTTGAAGAAGAGCTGTCATACTTGATATCCATGATGATTATTTTATTAACAAAAGATACAAAAATAATTCTTGTCAATTTGTATTTTTTAGACTCGTAGAAAAGCTACAAGAAAAAAGCCCTGACCAAGTAGATGTTTTCAAGACAAATATGAACAAAGTAATGAAAGACATCTTAGGAAGATTTAAGGACCTTCAATTTTTCACTGGTAAGCTGTGTTCTTGCAGTTCATATCTGGCTTAATTTTAACCTAGTAAATTCTCCTGTAGGTATTTACCACCAATTCTATAGACAGATTATTTAGTGTTTGTAGTTTGTATAATAATCAGCGCTGCTTTCCCCAGCTCTGTAGGAGCCCTGAAACCTTGTAACTGGCATACTACCCTTATAGGCTACAGTAAATTGTATAATGTCATTCTAATGCATAAATCTTGTTCAAATTTAGCTTTGCATTAGTTTAAAAAAATAAAATTCTAACCAATAAAATGTTATTATGTTTTACTTTTAATAAATTCTCTTGTTGTTAATTAGTTAGCAGATAATGTTTGTCATTTTTCTTGATATTCTTCATATATTGCTCCTACTGGCCTCATGTAAACCCGGTTGTACTGAATAGGATCAACTGTTTTCAATTATTTAAACCAATTATGATCAGGGGCAGGTCCAATTTCAATCCTTCAAAAACATAAACTAATTAACTTATTGTCTTAATAATAAAACAATAGTCCAGAATTATAAGAGCTACTAAACTGGCATGCTCTAATATCCATTACAAATAGTTTTGTAATGGAAGCAATGCATGCTAAAACAATGGTCTTGCAACTATTAAGTAATGTTAATTACAAACATTGCTATTGAGCAAGACACACATATTTCACTCAAGTTTAACTTGTAGGTGTGAAACGTGAGCAGCTATTTAACACGTTTGCTGCGGCCCATCAATGGCAGGCGTATCCCCGGTGCAGCACAGCGTTGGAACAAACCCAATTCCTGGGTCATTGGCTTTCAAATTTTGGTCTGACGAATAGCAAAAAAACGTGTGGTGATGTACTGCGTTACGACGAGAGTTGACGTAGTTCGCTAAAACACCCACAGATACCAGCACTCCTTGGAACGTAGCCGGTCCCATTGTATTGCCAATTGGAGGGAGAAAGACAGGACAACAAGTTGATTTCTGAGCTTGCTAAGATGGGGATTTTATAGGTAAATTTACTACCAACTTGCACTACAACAAAAAGAATGACACCCACTACACGCTAATGTGGTATAGGTCCGCATTCGACCGACACTATGCTCGCACTGAGCAACAGATTGACGCACTGCAGTGTGGTTTTTGGGTTAGTACTGACCTGGCCGCGTGAGGGTTGCCATCGCCGTGGACCAGTACTGACCCACCCAGTACCTGGCTTTTGACCCAGCACGTGTTAAGCCAAATAAAGATTGTAACACTAAGAATATAAACAATAGTCTATCTTCACTCTAGAGAGAGTGTATTCCATATGTTGGTCATCTTTAACCCTCCCAGTGTTACTTGACGAAAATTTGACAAGCAGCACACTTTGTGTAGTGTTACTTGTCGATTTTTCGACACGCAGACATCGTTTACGGCGAAGGCTCTATGACTGACTGAATCGGATTGAACTGGATCGAGTTAGGTATCGTTCTTTCCGTAATATTCTAAGCTTTCTGCAGAGGTCTGTCTCTAAGCGCTATTCATTTTAGTTCCGAAAATATTGTAGTAGACAGCTGACGCTGCTGACGTGCGTGTATTTGTAAACAGCTAGGTTACCCTCGGACCGATGACTGATGTGTTTTATTACGTTTATCATTGTTTTAGTGTTAAAAATCAAAAGTAGTGATATACGTGGTGCATTATAAGAAGATTTAAGTGGTTTTGAAGTGCTGGTTGATGATCCTGAAGAAGTAGGTAGTGATATTGATGTAAATTATCAGCCAGATTCCTAGCTATGGTTAGGCTATGCATTCTTAGCTAAACGCTATGTACTGAAATCAGTTTTTTGCCCATAACTTATTTATTTGCAAATCTACTTCCTTATATTATTATATATTTGTAATCCTCATAAAATTTAGAACAAAGTGGCTATTTTCAAATATTTATAGGCCTATAATTTATACAATTTCATTGAGCGCAAACTTATTTTTTTTTTGAAAATTTTTGAAATTGTATTTTTTTTACCTAAAAATTTTTTTTTTTTTTTAAATGTTCCTTATGTTTTATATATAATATTGAAGCCCATGATTTTCCAAACAAAATGGTATATAGAACATTAGAATTAACATTGTTTTAAGCTTCTCAGATCCGTTTTAATAAAACCTTGCTAATGCGCCAAAAATAGGTGGACATTAAGGCCTAAACTATGGACACTTGGAGGGATAACAAATAAAATAGTTGAATTTTTTTCTTCTTCCAGGAGAGTCAATGGACATCGACGGTATGGTCGCACTGGTGGAATACAGGGACATCGATGGTGAAAGCACGCCTATTCTCATGTTTTTCAAGCATGGCCTTGAGGAAGAGAAGTTTTAACTCATCTATTTGTAACTTAATTGGCTGACGAATCATAAACAAAATTATCGAAGGTTAGTTTTTCTTAAATAATGTGCTTTAGCGAATTTCCCATATAAGGAATAAGTTTAACCCATTGGCGCCGACTTACGAGCGTTACTCGTACGGCCGCTGCAGGCCCGGCGGCCGACTTACGAGAGCCGCTCGTGTCACCGCTAGGCATCGCCATTTTTTATTTAGTTATTATAATTTTTCGCCCTTTTTGTTTCTTCTTACTATTATAATGTTTATAAATATATTGCTTCTTGATTTGTGTATTTACTCATTTATTTTAGCGAATAACAAACAATTTTGTGTTGCAATGGAAACCACATATCACCAAAAAACAGCTGCGGTAAGGTAAACAAACATTTTTTTTTAATTTTATTACTTTTAAAAGTAAACAACTTTTGATTTTTCTACTTAGGGAATCGATTGACCTTTATAATAGTAGTGTTATTTGGTGTCTGGATTAATCTTGGAATTTGTATATTAAGTTTACTTTCAAAATATTGTTTTTAAAATTTTTATTTTTATAATCTTTATATATATATATTTTTTAAGTTTAGAACTTTGACTATCCAATTACCACTTTCCTGTAGACAATTTTACTGTGAACAAAATGGTGAAAGAATTATTAATTTATTACCTAAGGTTTTCTTTCTATAGCAGTTAGAGTAAAAGTCTACAAATTCGGTAAAATTAATTGCCGCAAGAGGGTGCTGCAGGTAGCGCATTAATTCCTTCCCCAATGGGTTAAGCTTTTACCGTAGTACTCATGTAAGACCTTGACCCGGGAAAGATTTCCTTTTTCATTTTGAGGTCCCCAGAGAACAAAAACAATATCTGGGTTCAAATTCATATATGTGTGTGTGTGTACGCGCGTCTCCGTTAGCACGATAACTTGAGGTAAAATGATCAGATTTTGGTACAAACGTTTTAACCTACATTTATTTTACTGAGTTTGCGAACCAGCATGATCGGACTATGGGAAAGGGGGTTTTATGGGGTAAAAATTGTTTTTCCCATTCTTGGCCCTAAAAAATAAAAGTTTAAATTTCTTTCCAAACCATTTTGTAGAGCTTAAAAACCAAATTATTTAGTATATTTAAGCATTGTTGTACACCTGATGGTTACGGAGGAAATTCAAAACAATGGTAAACTTAAAATCCCCATGTTATTCTTAGTACCTGGGAAAGAGCTTTGCTCGGGTAAAATCACGAGTATATTTGAGAACAGTATTAAAATTTCACGAAAATAGCATATTTTATCACTAAGGCCTAAAGTGTTTCTTTTTGACCCGAGGTCAAGTCTTACTATCGAGGCAAAGCCGAGGTTGGAAAGTGAGGGAGGGTTAAAAAGACACTTTTTTCCCGTGTGGTGAACTATATTTTTTGTTATATTGCAACATTAATTACAAATTAAGCTAGAAAACAAAATCTTTATATCTTTATTTCAATGTTATTATTGCTGATTTATTATTTTTTGTGTTAAAGAGATTTGAGTTACTCTTAATGGAGTATTTTACAAAGGAATTGTTTACCTGAGGAAATTAATGTTTGGGTTACCTGAGAGTCCAACAGCGTATGAATACAATGTCCATACAGTAGACTCAGTCAAGTATAAAGTGGTCGTTGTTTGCTTCATTGGCCACCGATGACAAGTTGTTAATTTGCATTTTGTGTGTGTTAAAATTTTGTTTATTTCTCAAATAATAGTGTTTGTTTTATAAATAAAAATGTGTGTAACAAAACAAAAAGGAAAACGGAGTGAGTGCCTTTCTAGTTTTTGCCGTGGGGATCATAAACTGTCAAAACCTTAAGGTAGGCCAGAGTGAGCAGAGTATAAGAGTTATTCAGGGGAGAAGTATTAGTGGAAGGGGGTGTAACAGAGACCGGGTATAGTTTCTTAACTGGGCTACCCTAATATCAATTGAAAAATATTAATTCAATTAGTAAACCTACATTCAATTGTTCATAATCAGCAAGTTTGGTTAGGTTATAATTGTTTCATTTCATCCCTCAAACAAGTTTAGCTCATCCTGCCCCGCTTGGTTGATCTTTCCACCCCCATACACTCACACCGCCAAGCCTCAGGCTGTAAAATGACCCACGTTAATGTTTTTAGGCAATTGGCACTCGGCCCTGCACTCAAATAAAAAATGTATGTACACAGTATTTAAAAGATGTTTGTACGTAAACGTGTGTTCAAAGCTTAGCTAATTATTAAATCTCAATGTTAGTTCATTCTATTTCCCAGTCATTTTAGGTTATTTTTGCAATAACCAAGATTACTCAGTTACTCATTGTGGTGGATAATCGGGGGTCTGCTGTATATTTTTACCTGAGAATGAAAATGAAACTCATAAGTTTTTGTCCAGCTGCGATGCAATCCAATGGTTACTTGTAAGCCTGGCCCTCTGTCTAAAAAAAAGAAGAAAAAAAGCTTTTGTTACTAATATTATAGACAAAAAGAATTAAATATAGACCGTCAGCTGTGCTGCGGTTACCATAGCTTCTGGCGTACACCGCTTGGAGCGCCATGTATTTACGGCGTACGCGCTACGTAAACTACAGCGGTGTGCGCCGGAACCTATGGTAACCATGGTAACCGCAGCACTTAATTCTTTTTGTCTATGCTAATATTAACTGGGATGTGAACAGGCTTTGAAGCTAAAGATAAAGTAGAAACTAATTTGTTTAATGTCCAGTGTTGCTCTGTTGTTAATGTTTTTTATCCTTTTTATTTGTTTCAGGTTGAAACACTCAAATGTCCACCTTGTCACTTACGACTTAACAACTTGGTGTTGCCATGATTGATGGCAAATTTGTCAACCTTTTAAACTCTCTATATTTGTTATACTAAATTATTCGAATCTATTGATACACTTGTAAATAGCCTAAGTTTTTGTATTTCATATGTTTTGCTTTATTTATTTTTACCTTGTGGAAGATGGGGAAAGATGACCTCAAAAACCAACCTTAAAGAAGATATAATATTTTGCAATAAATATTTGCTTTGGACTTGATATTTTAATTTACCTTCTCATTTCTGTATTGTAAGCAAACTTTACCTATGACCGATTTTTAAAACAAGCCGTTTCAGTTTAGTTCTTAGAATTGAAAAGACTCACTTAACAGCATATTGTTTACTTAACAGCGTTTTTGTTTTACATTACAACACAAGATTAACGGACAAATGAGGTTCAAGGATTGAGAGAAAAGAAGCAACATTGTAATATATAAACATCAACTTATCAGCTGTTGAGGCAAATTTAATTGATTACAACAATGAGTGAGTGGTTGGGACCATATGTCGTAGCATCACAATCAGTGGCTATGAGAGGTTATAAACAAAAACACCAACTTCTTGGAAGTTTATGAGTAGTGATTTTTAGTAGCCTAATTAAGAGGTTGGTATAGTAGTGTAACATTTCTACTTGTCTCGTTAAGAATATCCTTACGGATACCGTGGCGTAAACTACTATAACAATTGATACTTAAAAAGAATATTTTCTAATGCTTTTCTTTTTTACTAAAAAAAGCTAAAAAATACTGAATATTGGAGACAGGGAGAAAGGTCAAGACGAGAAAACAATAATACATTATACAGGGTTGGTACGGTCAGGAAAACCTGGAAAAGTCAGGGAATTATGAAAAAATTCTGTTATTTCTCCTGAAAGACTACTTTTTTACATATATGGTACATTCTGCACCTAAACATGTTTTACCTGATGACTAATGGCAAAAAGAACGACACTGATGCACATTTTTATATCAATAGTTATTTATCGGTACGGGGGAGGAATCCATATGTATATAGTTAGAAACAAGTTTTGTATTTGGGAGTAATTAAATAAGTTAAATATTTAGGCTACATTTTTTCTAATATTTCTTGATTTTGACTTGTCTATATCGACTTGCGGTATACCTGGAAAAAGTATAATATCAGTCTGGAATACCTGGAAAAGTCAGGGAATTTTGTTTTACAAATTTAGTACCAACCCTGTTATATCTTTGATTCTAACTCAAGCTAGATAATGGGTACATACCTAGTACAAAGTATAATAAATAATTTATTTTAAGAATTTGTCCCCAAGATCTCCTTCAATGATGGCATTTACAATTATTTATAGGGTAGGATGAAAATTATTCTTCTTCGGAGAATAAAGATAAAGTATTTGCTTTGGAAAACATGAAGGAAGAATGTATGTACCAATGCAACCAACATATATAGGAAAATGTTCCAGGCAGTTAATAACCTTAATACCACGGTGGTTAAATAATAGGTCCTTAGAAAAAAGATAGAGCAACACAATATTTTGCGAAGATTAAATTTGATTTATTTTTCAACTTATCTCCTTTTAGCTACACACATTCACCTAAACGTTTCTGCAACCTCCTTATGCCTTTATTGATTTTGTCACTGCCGTCCAAATGAACTTGAAAAGCCTTTGAAATGCTCTTGTTCTCTTTTATCAAATTTCCCATATATAATAAGCTATTACCGTAGTACTCATGATAAGACCTAAACCCGGGACCGATTTATTTTTTCGTTTTGAGGTCCCTAGAGGCCAAAAACACCATCCGTTCAAATTCGTATATATATATGTGTCCGTTAGCGCGATAACTCGAAACAAAAATTATCCGATTTTGATAAAATTTGGTACGAATGTGTAAACCTACGTTTATTCGAACAAGTTCGCGAACCAGCATAATCGGACCATGGGAAATTGGGGTTTATGGGGTAAAAATGGGGTTTTCCCATTTTTGATCCTAAAAACAAAAATGTTTGCAATTTCTTTTTAAAACGTTTTGTAGAGCTTAAAAAAAATAATTTAGTACATTGAAGTGCTGTTGTATGCCTAACGGTTACGGAGAAAATTAAAACTGTTGTAGTTTACTTGTCAATGGGTATATACTGATAAAATTTGGCAAATGTATTTATTTCATTCTATACTATTGACGTATGGTCCAAAAACACTTTTTACCTTCCCCGTAGCAGCAAACCTAAGCACTTGTTAAATCTAATGTTATTTAAATTGGGAATAAATATTTATGGAAATATTTGATTAAAAATGTAATCAAACAAGTTGAAATTCGATTAGTCTGCAGGTTTGCTGCGGCGGGGGTATTTTTATGATATCTTCATCTGACACAAAATGTTTCCCACCAGGACTTTTTAGGTTAGGTAATAAAAAGTCACTCAGGGCTAAATCTGGTTGAGGCAATAACTCAAACTTCAAGTCCGTGATCTTTACCATAGAATGCAGGGCAGGTGTGCACCCTTGCTTTTCTTTATGTAACTTAGTAGAATCTTTATTTTTCAATCGCCCTAATTACATTTTATCAATGACATTTTGCCGTAATTTAATCGCTCACACAGCTTAAATGGGAATAGTACTCTATAGTTATTGTTTGTCTCTTTGCCAGGTAGTCAATGTAAATTAGTTACTCCACGAACATCACAAAAAACAGTTGCCATCACCTTGCCAGCTTCGTCTTGGGTGCTGGTTTGCTTGAAAAAACCCACTGTTTGGACCGTTCCTTTGTCTCCGGAATGTAGTAGTGAATCTATTCTTCATCTACAGTTAATGTATCGACAAAGAAACTCATCATGATCACAATGATGCACAAGAGTTTGTTTACAAAAGAAATCGGCTGCTGATGAATTCAACAAGAGATTAAGTGGTGGAAGAGAACAAAGAAATGTACAAATGAACAAAATAATTTGAATGTTAACAATTTACAATTACAAATATTTGGATTTTGAATAAGAACATGTGATCAAGGGGAAAATAAAAGCAGACTAATAGAAATTGAAATTTAGACGATTTGAGTTGAATCACTTTGTTCACTATCTTAAAGTTAAACCAGAGAGGAACTTTGTTTTAAGTAACAACTGGTGAGCTAATTAAGAATTTAGAATTTCCTTTAAACCAGTTTGTTGCATTTAGGATTTTGATGAGGATCTACTTTGTGTTGCCTTAAGGGTAAGCAGCCTTCAACATTTTAGTTACAATTCAAACAATAAATATACGCCCGTTAGCATGTGTTCGTGAACGCTATAAATTGAGTAATTGTTGTTCAATTTTGATGAAATTTGTTTTGGTGGTGTAAGGTGGGATAAACTTAAATGAGTTTGTTAACCAGCATGATCAGACGATGGGAACGGGGTTTTATGGGATAAAACTTGGTTTTTCTCATTTTCGACCCTCAAAACATAAAATTTCCCAATTTCTCTCTAGACAATTTAAAGAGCTTAAAAAGACAACTAATTTAGTATGTATATTGAAGTGTTTTTGTGCGGTTATTGGTTACGGAGACAATTAAACAAATTTTAATTTGTGAAAATTCCCATGTTATTTTTATGGAGAATATTGTAAAATGTACTTTGCTTTTTTATGGATTGATCAAACATGGCAAATTTATTTATTTTATACTAAGCTATTAATATTTTAATAAAAAATATTTTTTTACTAGCCTCCCTGTAGCAGCAAACCTAGTTATATGTTTAACCTAATGTTATTTCAATATATTTAATTGTATATCAATTCAGGCAAATGGAAGTTCACTTATTCTGCAGGTTAGCTGCGGCGGGGGTATTGTTTTCCACATACTATACTCCTACTGAACGGCTGAAGAGTACACCAAATTACCTTTGTGTTGTGTAAACCTCTAATCTTCCCTCAAGAATGTTGAAACCCTATTCTTAAAATTTTGATTACTAAAAATGTGAACAAAGGCCTTTTGACACATCGATGGTTGGACAAAGGATGACAAATCAATGTGGAAAACATGTTTTTACCCTTTAGCCAATAGTCTATGCTATAGCTCAGGAAAACAACAGCACATTTTTGTTCGTACTGTACTTTTTAAACTAAGCCGAACATAACCATTAGCCTGAAATATAACTACTGTCAAATGCAGTAGTTGGTAGTGTTGATCATGTTAATATTCCAAGAAGCTCATTCCTCTTTGATTTTTTGGATATTTTAATTTAAACATTGACCTTGCCAAACAAGTACTTATTTCATTATTATACAAAAAATAGTTTTGTTCATTGTAGTTATTTGCTTTGAAGTGCAACTGTTGTATATGCAAAAATCAGTCCAAGTACCTGTAACAAAAGTTAAATAACTAAATTATTTAACTTGATATTCAAATTCAACCTCAATAAAATAGTCTGAATTAAATCATAATAACTTTTGATGACACCTAAAGGCACTCTATAGAAATTTTACATCATAACTCATCAGACTATATATTTTCAAGCTATACGTCTTGCAACCATATGAACTAACTAAGACTCATTATTCAGCTTGACAAAAGAAACAAAAAATGTAATATAACATGTGTCTTATCTCATTCCGTTTTCGGTCTATCTGTCTGTATGTGATTTTTACAAAAACTTTCATAACTCCTAAACTGATTGAGCTACAGCACAGCGTTGAAATCCTGAAAAAATGTTCATCTTATTGACCTCTATGTTTGTGCAAAATATATTATATTATTAAAGTGATACAATCAAATTTTATGTAAATGGTTAAGGCCATTAACCAAATAAAATTATAGGCATATGGCACATCAAAATAAACCTCAGAGTGTGTAGATTTGCCGAAAAGTATTTGTATGAACAAAATGAAAGGTCATCCAAGAGGTTGTCACCGATCTTTAACAGGACGTCGTGAAAGAGAGCGGCGAGTCCAGGTAAAACCACGTGGGCCACCTCAGGACGTAAGGTATGAATTAAGGTCCCACTGCTTTTAACATTCCTTCTGGTGAGAATTTCTTGAACTTGGGCCCTTAATGAAATATAAAGTCAAAATTCTTAATTGTACATCGGTGGATTTGCGGGTAGAACCTCTTGTATGAACAAAAACTCTTGAACTGTTTAAAAATGACGGCTTTTAAACATATTTGATGCCAAATTCCATGAAAACCGTTAATTTTCCAAATGTTTGCAAGAAATGTAAATCTAGTAAACTTCATGCAGATTACAATGGTATCTAAAATTTTAGTTT